CATAAAAAAATTCACCAAATACAAACAACATCCATAATCCCTTGCAACTTTAAAAGTCAGTCTATGTTTTAGTAGCAGCAGATCTCTGAGTGTAGTTTATTGTTCATGTTGGCATGTCTTACAACACCCTCAACTTCCCGAGGATGACTCGAGTTGCAGGTGCAGGAGAAAATATGACCCTTCTACGGAGTGTGTGCCCTCAGCAAAGTCACGAGGAGGCCGTTTGCCGCAGAGGTCGAGGCCCGAGCTTCGGAATCAGGCAAACCCCCGCTCAGACCCGGCCCTGCTCCTTCTGACTTACGGACAGACGGTGAGAGCACTTAGTGAAGTGGCTAACACTGACCTGTCTGTGGGCTGTCCCTGCCCTTTGGGTGACCCGTGTGTACAAGCTTGGCCACGGTGGAATCTATCAATAATTTGAAGGCCACGGCTCAGAGGTAGCTTTTGGGTGCAGCTAATGTTTAAGAGGGACCTGTTGGCAGGGCACGCCTGACTGACAAAGAATGCTGAGCCCTGATGAAACCCATTCTCTGTCATTAACTGTCAAGGTAGAAACGCTTCCCAGTAAGTGACAAGCTCCCGGAGCCGGGCTGGTGCGTGTGCCTACTTGTTCTGTGCCAACCGCATCAAAGAAGTGCCCCGTGTGTGCTCAGCTATCAACTGCCTTGTGAAACTCACACAGCTGTTACCAGAATTGTTACTTTTTCTCTGTGTGTGTGTGTGACAGAAACAAAACAAAACACATTAGGTAGAAAATAATGAAAAGAGTTCTGACTGGGTGGTTGGAGCTCAGATCTCCTTTGCTTTAGGTCATTAACTGGCCAGATACCGAAGGCAAATTACTTCATGTCTACAAGTCAGTCTTTACGTCAAAAATTTATTTCTGAAGTGTGTGTATATATACACACACTTATATATATATATATATATATATACTAATTTTCAACATTCTCCAAGCATACGTAAGAATCACTTCAGCTCCGGGGAAAAGACATCTTGTTAGTAGATGCTCAGTGAAAGCAGGCCTCGCCACAGGGCAGCACGGCTGGGGAGAGCGGGAGATGAGGGCTCACCCACAGCCCCCCCAAGCTGCAGGACACAGATTCCGCGTCTGCGGGTGAGGAAGCTGAGGGAGAGGGAGCGTGTTGGCCAGCCCCGCGTTCTTCCCAGAGCTTTTGTCAATGGGAGGCCGGATGTGGGAATACTTTTATGTTACTCTGCAGTCTTCAAGGTACAACAAATAGGTCTGCGAGGTTAGGTTATGACTAAAAAACTGCTTTTAGGAGTTGCTAGTTTTTTTTTGCTCAGCTCAATTGATTTGAAAAATCATCCAACCCTTCAGGTTCTGCTGTAACAGTCCCCAAATCTCTGGTGCTCCTGGACCTAGAGATGCGAAGCTCACTCGTCTGAAATCCCATCACGTGTTT